AGTAAACATTACAATGCTTTCATACGCAAGCTATCATTTTTTTTTATTAAGTCTTAAGGTTTGTAAAGCAGTGTTTTTCTCATGCCTTTTTCTTTTTTGCATGTTGCCTATCCAACATGCAAAGTAATTTTCATTTTAAGATTAAAAGTACTTTTGTGCATCAGAAAATTTTCAAATTTCACATGCAAAATCTTTATAATGTCCAGATAGTTATCAAACGTTTCTTAAGAAAAAAAACAACTATATTTTATCTGTTATTTTCAGTAACGAATCTCTGTACAGGTTTGGTCAATTTGACTGATCTCGTAACCACATTAACAAAATTAGGAAATAAATATAAATTATGCTTTTTTTATTCTAGAATGACTACAATTTATTATACAAAACATAAATGTTTAGACTAAATAGCGTAAATTTTATATATATATTTATTATTTTTATTATATTGACCTTTCAGCCATGCCTGACTAACAATACAGAAGTTGCAATGACGCAGCACATGTGCACTCACGTTACCATATCCAATAATATAAAACTGACTTTTAGTCTTTACAGAATGACTTGTCTTGGCTGTGTTTTAATAGACTAGTATTTTGCAAAATACAGTCACATTTCAATTATTATACACTATATATGTATATAGGTTATTGCTATTTAGAAATAAGTTCTTAAACTTATTTTCTTAAAACATAGAACAATAAATAAAGAAGTAAAGCAAACAATTATTTCTTCCAGTTAAGACCTTTATACTTGGTTGCTGCTTGATGTAGGTTGCTAAGCCTTTTAAAATTTTGCATGTGTAGGATATGAAAGAAAATAATTTTTTTTTTAGGTTTATATATATACAGTTGAATAACCAAAAAATAATAAATTACTATATCAAAACTATAGAGTTCCACTATAATTTATCAAGTGTAGCAACTAAGCTGTTTTTCAGTCTAAAAAAATATGAAATTTTGAGCAGACTAAAGACACAACCTACCTCCTCGAAATCTTGGTTCTAAAGAAAGAAATGGTGTTCAAACACATTAAAATGGCTGAGAAAGCCACTAGGACGACATTCTTTCACACTTTCAGGGTTTTTTTGTTGTTGTTTTTTGATAGTCATGCCTATCTTTTTTTCTTTTCATATAGCATGTTTTTACTGGTTTTCATAATTTCTTGGAAACTAGTGCCAGTGTGTCCAATCATCATTCATTAGTTTTGAGTTTCTCTTGAGCTTCACATTGTTTTGGAGCTATTTTAGGGTTTTTCAGATGTTCTGGTTTTCCTTGGTGTTTATCTGTTGCTGCATCTTCTTCATATTTTTGGTTTTCTTGTTTGAGAAATCATCCTTTGAAGTATCCTTCAGATGTCTCTCCCTCTTATGGAACTGTCCATTTGAGGATGTACCTGTGACTTACAGTGGGATCCCATGGTTACTTGAGTCACTGGATCAATGGTGTTACATCACTTGTCTCATAAAGAAGGTTTGTTTAACCCATGGACTTAAAGAATCTTAGTAGTAGGTCAGCAGCTCTTTTACCTTCTGTCTCCTCCTTCCTTTTCTCCATTTGAATACCTGTTTCATCTTAATCAAAAAGTGCAACAACTTTTATTCAAGGAAAGACTTGTTAAAGTGGCCACTCCAATCTAGGGTTTTTATTCTTACCTCATTATGATTCCTCAGCATATCTTGGATCGGTAGCATGTTGTGGATATCTCTCTTCTGTATTTTTTTTTAATCTCTCCCATGTTTAAAGAAGGAAAATTCCCACAAGTTATGTTGCCACTTGTAGAAGACTTTGGGTTTGACAAAGTAAGATATTGTAGACATTTTTGTATTCTAAATCCTTTACCCTTTTTTCATTATCCTTGTTCTGTACACAAGAACCATCACTAATTAGACATTTGGTTGCTTCTGTCTTCATTCCAATTTTGTACCACCCAGACAATGAAATTCCAACTTTCTCATTATTTTGAAATCCAAATCCCATCATTAACCAGTTCAGTTTTTCTATCCATCTTGATGTTTTGAACATTTTTCATCTGACAGGTTACAATTTTTACAACTACATTGGTGGATTTTGAGGATCCTGTTTGTTTGGCACTTTGATGACTGCAGCTTCTTTGATACTGTTGAATATGGACCATCTGCACCTTCTTTAATAGCAAGGACTTAGGATCACAGTGGAAGATTTCCACTAGTAATCTTTTTGATATACTTTTTCTGTTATTAGAGACTTGTATGACATTAAGCTGGCAGGTGGATGGAAATAACAGTACTCAAAACATTCCATTAGAACTTCCAATCTCAAATTGCCATTCATTTCCCTATGTATCATTTCAGCATACTTTGAAATGTTTGGTCTCCAGTGAAGCTATGGAACCATGTAGATGTCCTGGAATATAAAATATAGGCAATATAAAACATTTACATGGGCTTTCTTGTCATCAGGTTGTGTGGGTTAATTGTCTTGATAAATTTGTACAACACTATTTTTGTCACCTGTGTTCACAAGCTGGAGAGGATGTGCTGTCAGGTTCTGTGCATGGAGGCTATACTCCTAGTCTTTTGGGTGAGCACTCTTATCATTTTATGGGCTTGTCATATTCCAGGAGTAAAGAATTTACTTGCAGATCATCTTCCACACCCAACAAAGATATTGCTCAAAGAGTGGCTCCTTCCTCCTTAAGCTTTCCAACATCTGTCAGTGTTTTGGTTGTCTAATGGTTGATACGTTGCAACCTCTTGGAATCAAAATTATTAGTTTTATGACACACGATTGATCAGGGAAACTTCTTTGTAAACATTCCCCTGTTTGTATCCCGGAAACGTTATACTATATTTACTGAATGCCTAGTAATTTCCTTTTGATGACACTTTTTTGTCTATTATAGCTTTCACCTGCTTTACAGTTGCATCCTTTAGCTTCCCTTCCGCTTCGGAAAAATCTTCTGTGGTAGTCCAGAACGTGATGTTTTCCATCCTCACACACACACACACACACACACATAAACAGTTTCTGTTTGAATTTTCATTCTTGGCCTCTCTCCGTTTTGTAAGTAAGATTTTCTTCCTAATCTGCAAGATAAATAATCAATTCATGCAGCTAATGAAACTTTAAATTTTTAAAAATGTGTTAAATACCAGTTAAATTTGTTGTGACACTTTTAGCAGTCATACTGTCCTAAAATAAGCAAAGATACATTCCTGAACATTTTTTGTTTGTTTTTGTACATCATCTGGGGGACATCCCCATGAAAACTAGATGCTAATTTAAATGCATTTTTTAAGTGTTTTTGGAGGAAAATAAATTGTGAATATTTGAAAGAGTGCCATATAAAATATAAAATTCATAATAGTATTACACTGAGACTTTTACATACAACTGAATAGGTCCATTCATGTGATCATCAGTAACAAATCAAGTGTGAAATGTGCACATTAATTTAAAGTACTGAGATGTAAGCCTCCCATGTTAATTAGTACTAGTAAACTATCTGATTTATAAACCTCATAACTGTACAAAATTAAAATTTAAATAAAAAGTAAAGAAATATTTTCCTTCAAGTTTAAATTCTTGGCTACTTACATTGAAAACAGCTGTTTTTTTATTGTGCTTGGACAAGATCTTAAATTTCTGAATTTCCAGGTCAATATTGGAAGGTTGGAATTTGAATAAAAATAAAAACAACTAAGTATGAAGATATAAACTGAAACAAATAAGTGATCAAACAATCAAATAACGTGCAACATGTTTTGAAACTAAGACTTGTTGAGTAATAAGATTCTTGATACAACCGATATAAATTAACCAAAATTTATGCAAAAGTCAGATAAACTTGAGTAATAAAATTCTTGATACAGCTAATAAAAATTACACTAAAATTTATGAAAAGTCAGAAACTTGTTTAATATGATAATTATAGTTCACAACCTATGAAAATAAATATTTATTGAACTGTTATTCATTTGATTTTAAAAACTAATGCTCTTGATGTTTTTAAAATTTAGATAAAAAAAAATCTGTCTATAGTGGAGCATGAAAAACATTTTTATTACAAGTTAAGAATAACTGTAATTCTCATTAGAATAATAACTTAAAAACTGTAAAATATGTTATTGAATTATAATAAATATAAATCAACATGGAACTTACTATTTGTTTCAGTAATTGATTAGAAATATCACTTTTTTATGTTTATTGTATATGATACATGAAGGAGCTGGTTATTAACCTAATGGTAAAAAGTGCCAGATTGTGAATTCAAGGGGCTGTGATTCACATTCCTTGTCACAAAAACACACTCCATACTTTGTGGCTATGAGTGCATTATAAATGTGGTTAAATCCCTCCAAATTCAAGTAGATTAGTTCAAGAATTGGCATTAGGTGCCATTGATTAATTACATTGTCTGTCAATAAAAAATTGCAGATAACTTTTGTGAAGCTTTGTTATGTATCCAAAACAAATAAAACAGATACACAAGGTGTGCATGTGAATATTTTTTTCCTTCTTTTTATAAAATTGTAATATTAATATTATTCAAGAGCCATTATTTTTTAATTTTATTGGAATTGTTATGCGTTATTGTTGATAGACTTTTCATATTTTCAGACAAAATGTGGAGAGAAATTATTTCTCGTGGTTTCGAATAAACAGAACATCTTCAGTCCAAAGAGAAGAAGACCAGACCACACGATTACCAACAAGAGTTGATAATTTACCTTCTTATGAATCAGTGGTGTCTGTTGAGGTATGAACCCAAACTTTTTGTTATACTTTAGCATTTTAAGAACTCTCTTTTTATATTGCAGTAATGATTGTGAAATGAAATAGGTATATTGAATCTGAATATTAAATGGTTCTGAATTAGTGTATGTAAGCTTACAATGTAGTTTGTGGAGAACGTAGAACAGTGGAGACTATTCTTGTGTTGGGATTGGACAATGTTTAAACCTTAAAATTGAGGAATAAATAGTTTTTTTTAATGAAATACGAAATTATTGATATTATAAATTTAAATTTTATAAAAGTTGCTTATGTTTGATTTTGGCACTATATGTTTCATACAATGAGTCTGAGAAAACTTGTTGGTATTTTATTAACACAAAAACATCTATAATACTGATTTTAAAGATTTCTATGCATTTATCTGCTCTAATTATGTAAGGTATTTTAACTCTGTACTTAGTGGTTTTTTTAAAGTAAAATTGTGTAAAACTGGGCATTTGGTTACTTGTCAGTTACGTGAAAATGTAAAATGTCTGTAGAAAGTTAGTTACCTAAACTAACACTTCAGGTTGTTCTTCATAATGATTTGTTTGTTTGGAAACAAATTTTCCAGTTTTTAATTTGCTTTCATAAAAACTGAGTAATTTTTTCTGTGTATCAAGTGAGACAGAGGTGTGGTGTTATTTTGTTTGGTTTTGCTACTGACTGTGAAAACTAAAACATTATTTAAGTATGTCTTTACTTGGAGTTAAATGAGTAATAATATATCCTTAAAAATAGTACATTGACCTGCTATTTGTTTGCAAGCAGACCAGGAATTATTAAAAAACAAACTTCATTTAGTTATGTATTTAATGTTAGGCCCATCTTTAAAATTCTATAACTTTTTTTATGATGAATAGTGTATTTTAATAGTGCCAAATGATATAGTTTTTTTTAACAAAGAGCATTTCATTTTAAAGTGGTCAGTTTCCAAACTAATGTCAGGTGAGAAAAGTAGTAAACAGATTATTTGAAAATAATTTGTTTTGTAGTAGAAATGAAAAATCTTTAAATACAGTTAAGAAATTTTAATGCACATGAAAAAACATATTTTTGATAATCATCGTAGACAAACTCTAAAAAAATGTGTTGTATTGTAATATTGTGTATATAAACTACTCTAAACAGTAGGATGCATTTATAACAGTATAGAGTTATGGCAGAAATTGTGTTTTTACATAATAAAGTCTGTATCAATATATTTTCTACATCAGTAAATGGGCTGTTTTAAAGTTTTTTTTCAATTTATCACATGTAGGATAACCATGAGGAACCTCCTCCTGTGTATGAAGAAGCTATTAAAGCTCCACCATTCGTTACTGAAACAGTTTCCAACAGTAATAAGCCATGACGTAGGTGTTTCTTTAATCAAACATCCTGTCTTTTAAAATTTACTTCAGAAACTGTTATACATCATCAGCCTAATGATGCAGGCCAAGGGTGTTTTTTTTACTTTGTGTTGTTTACTTCTAGATATGAAACTAGATGTTTACTATTTACAGTCAGATTATTTTGAGAAAGTATATTCACAAAGTAGACCATCATTCATGCTCAGGTTTTTTACTTATGTAAATATTTGGGTACTTTCACTTTCAAGACACTTATTACAAGTAGATTTCTTTAAGCTGTTATCTTGTGTTAGCAGCTTGCATAAACATTTTCATTTATATAAACAAAAATATTTTCAGATTGATTTTATAACTTAGATATAGGCATTAGCTTATACAGTTGCATTAGAGTTACGTAAGTTATATTAAAAATTGTCTCCAGCACGATAACATTACCCTGTCATTGATGTATTTCTTTCAAGAGAAACATGCTTTAGTGTTTAAAAGCAGTGCCTACACTAATTATATAGCAACTTACTAACTCCAAAGAGAAAATACAAGTAATATTTCAATTATTAATAGTAAGTTCTGGTGTTGTATTGGGCGTTGAAATAGAAGTGAGATTGTGTCTTTCATGTTTCTGAGATTAAATAAGTTTTCTTCTACTTTATCTTCTGTATTATGTAATTCAATAACATTTGAATTTTGTTTTTGGTGATTCTTTCTTTGAATTTCAGATATTGAAGTTTTATAGAAAATATTTATATACAGTTTTTATATATGTATTTACATGTAGATTTATCAGAATGTCAATGAATAAACATAGTACTTTATTTCAGGAAATCAACAATAGATTTTTTTTTGACAATTTTTGTATACAGAAGAGTAAAGTGAATCAGGTATGAAATTAAAAACATTTTTAACAATCATAGTAATGACAATTAATTTTAATTCAAGAATTAGTGTTAAGACTAACTAGCTTACAAAGAAATTAGAGGGAAGTTTTTTCATTAATATTTGGTTAGGATACGTATCGGAAGATAAAAGGTGTAATATTGACGTTGAAAAAAAAAGGACATTTCCGAGTTTTTGGACACTCTGAATCCATTTTGCACAATAAAAAATAATTTTCAATTGGGTAGTGACAAGATAGACAGAGTGTAATTGTGGAAAGTATCTCAGTGAGACAAATAGAGATTACATTTACAGACTGAAAACCTCACTTTTCTTATTTACTGGCTTATTCTTTAAGTTACTTTTATGATACTCGTTTTGAATGAGGTTGTAACAAATATTCGTTCAGTATCGGTGAATGTCATTAAGGATCCAGATAGGTGACTATTTGTTTGCTCATAGGCAGCACTTTCTATAGGAACAAAACCTTTCTAGGGGAGTCTGTATAATTTTTGAAATTTAAACCCAAATTAGGACTCTTTTTGTTGCACTCTCACACATGAATTTATTGATGCTTTCTGCAATGATTGTCTAAAAATTAATAATAAATGAACACGTTATTCTAAGTGACAGTTTTATTTAGAACTAGATAGTCATAAAGTCAATATTGTAACAGTTGTTTAAAAATTTGTGAATTGGGCCAATATACTTTTTGCCTCAACAGCCACCTCACCATTTTTGTTACTGCATGAATGCTCTTCCGAAGCATCTTTGACATTTTCACACCTAGTTTTCAAAGAATACATTCCTTTTATTTTACAATTAATTGGGTGTCATTATGATGTAGTACATATATTTCTGGTATACCGAGCACGGTTCAAACTTTCATGAATACTTTGTGGTATTGCGGTTAACTTGTGTCCAGCAGAAAAGTTCAAAGTTTTCATAGTAATGCAGGTTCAGGATGATTAAGTAGAAAATAAATCAAACTTTAACAGTAAAAAAAACAGAAAATATAAGAGAACATATGAATAAAATCTTTATTTACAGTGCAATATGTCATCAAGTCTGTCTCACTTATTGGCCAGCCTCCATTGCTTTGTATTTCCATTGACTACTGGGGGTTGAAAAACTTCTAAACAGAGCCAGAACAAAGTAAATTCTAATTTACTGCCAAAATTAAAAGTGTGATATTCCAGACTTCAGTGTTGCTCATGTTGTCACAGTCTATTCCAAACAATATCAATTTGTACAAGTATCTGAAGAAACCTTTTGAACTAGGCTCACACTCTCCCATAAGTCTCAGACACAGGATCAAAGTGATACTATGTTGTAACTGTTGGTGTATGCAACTTTACCACAAAAGGATTAGTACATGTTTTTGACCTTTTGACATCTGTTTAACATGACTACATGCAAAAATTGCATAAAAGTTTAAAAAAATTACAGTAAATGTATATTCTATACTAATTATGGAAGGTGTAATTCATCACCATTTCATATATTCAGCATCATAGCATAAAATTAATAACGATTGGAAAGGATAAGTAGCTTCTAATAATCTAATAATATCACTAATCAATGCAATCCTTGTGGATACTTCTATGAAGTTCAACTGATGAGCATGACAGTGCACACAAGGTCCTAAGACATCAATGTTATGCCATTTGTCATATTAAAGCTTGAACTCTGCCAAGAGTTCATGCTATGACAGAAGCTATTTTTTTAGCTTGACTAATAAAGTTTTTAATATAAAGACAAGACATATATATATATATATGATTGTGTATATGCATATTTCAGTCTTGTGATGTAATGTGACAAATACAGTTTACTTTGGATCTACCTAATTTTGTTCTTTTTCAAAAATATTTCTTCCAAGTCGTTTGTTGCTGAAACATCAGTTTATAGTTTCTATTTTTTATTCTTTTTTCATTGTTTTATTATGTCCTTCTGATATTTCTGTCTCCTTTTGAGCACTTTATAACATCACGTGGGCTATGAGCCACTGCTTCTATTTTCCATGTTGTTGTTTTCAGTGTATCATGAGGATTTAAAACTGACTTCTATAAGCATCTTATTTGCCACTCCAAGTTTATACCCCAGTGTGTCAGAGTACATGTAGCCCATTGTACAGCTCTTCATTAAACGAACAAACCAAAGAAAATATGACAAAAATGGTAGATACAGTTTTCGAAGAGTAAACAAAGCAATCTACAAATTTTCAAACGTTGTGTAAAGTTTTTCTTTTTTTCAGACTATTTTGATTATTCGACAAAGAATATAATGTATGATTTCGTTTTTCAGAAATTCATCTGTTATGATCTCATTTTTAGCTTTGCTTTTAACTGTCCCTAATTTTTGTATAAATTGTTTTATATTTAGCTCTTAAAAAGTACAAGAGTAATGAAATAAATGTAAGCTATAGAATATATTATAAGATGTTGTATTGTGTGTATCTGGGGGTATAAAGGTGTAGATGTGTAAGAATTCATCAAAAGGTCAGAGAAGCATTCCGTTACATAAGTAAAATCAACTGACTACATAAACGCCACTTAATGAAAAAAATGTGTAATTCGTTAGGCACAAGTATGCATATAATAAAGTCAGTATTTTCATAGGACCTGTAGCACAAGTGCATCATATTTACAGTGTACGTGGCCATTTTAATTGTAGAATTCAAATTTAAACACATCATGTGTGCGTTTTGCAGTTTTAATAGTAAGGTTAATACAAAAAACGTTCTTACAGCTGTGTCTTGGTCCAGGAATAGTATGGAAATAAACTTATTAATAGTTTTGGTAAAATTTTTTCTAGACCTTTGAATTGTATTTGTTTATTTTATGATGTAAAAAGATAAAAAAGGCTTATGGTTTAAGCTATTTATTTTATGAATTACATTAAAGCTTTTAGTGACTGATATTTTTCATCTGGATTAAATCTTGGTAAACTACTCTGCTGTTAAATGGTAGACTGAAAAAAATTAGTTTTTATACTTTCTCGTGAACATTGGCAGACATTTTATCTCAGTCTGAAGTACATGATGCTATATAAGAGTATTTTAAAATATTAAGATGTAGGTCTTTATTTTGCAACATGGTTCATATAGACATGGTATAAGGTACTGTAAGTTGCATTTATTATGTAACATCATATATAAGAACTTACTAAAATGTTTTCCATTTGTGTGTATTGTTCACAGTTGATATAATGAGTTGCTTGCATTATTTATTTTACATATTTCTATAAATTCATTCAAAGAACTTAGAATTGAGGAGTCGGAAATTTCAAGTCATAGTAAAAGTACAAAACTGCGTAATTGAAATAAGTGCCTTTTAAATTTTAAGAGAACACAAAGAGGAAATCAGTTTATTAAACTTGCATAGTGTATTAGTTTATGCTAATTTGGGATCAGGGAATATATAAAATATTTTTTTTTCTTAACTCTCATGTGGAGTTTGCGTAGCATAATTCTGTTTCATTTGTTATCATCTAATTAGTGCCTTTAGTGAATTTTTCTAACAACAGCCACTTGTACGTTCTATAAACACTTTTACTTTGATAAAGAAATATAAACATTTGTCAATTCTCCTGGTGTAATATTTCTGCTCTTAAGAGCATTTAGAAAATAATTCCTAAAAATAAAAACTGGTAATAAATTAGTGTATAGTAATCTTTTTCTCTATAAATAGCATCTGACGTTTTACTTATATTTTGTTAGGTTTTCTCACTATCTAATCAGAATATCTGTGTTTAAATCAATATCACATATTATAGGATAGAAAATAGTAAAGTTTTTATTAAAATCCCATGCCATGTAATCTTATTCTTTCTCAGTATAGATTTATATGTAACATTTGAAATTTTTCTAGAATTATTAAATGTAATAGGTTTAATGTTAATATAGAGAGATTCAACCATATACATTTTTCTATGTAATTTTTCAATTCCATTTGTATTTTATCCAACATGTTATTAGATATTTTATTACAATTTACAGTAAGTAAAGTTCTTAGAACAGGTATGACATTTCAATCACTGGCGCAATCATTATTACGTACACAAGTTTTTACAGTAAAATTTGTGTAACCAATAATGATCGCACCAGTGATCGAAAGGTCGTACCAATTCTAAAAACTAATCTTACTTACTGTAAAAGCTGTAAATCATAATAAAATATACATTATCAGTAAGTAAACTCAAAACAAAACTATTTTATTAGATAATTTTATATATATATTTGTAAATATTGCATATGATGTTAAAACTTTTCATCGTATTAGAATTATCAGATTTGAGGTAAATTTAGTAGCAGAATTACGTTACTCCTTGTTATTTATGTATCAAATAATTATCTTTTTTTACCAGTAGAATACTTCTGGGTAAAACCAAATTAAAAATAGTCCAATGTATAACGTTTTGCTATACACATACTCGAATAAAAAGTTTTAAATATTTTAGAGTTTTAAAAAAAAGGCTTCAGACAATACTTTTGTAATCAGTTTATAAGTTTTATTTTGCAGAATTTTGAAATCTTGTGACATTGTCATTATGAATGTATGTGTATAAATGTACTTGTATAGCTGTTATAAATTCAGCCATATTTTAGATACATAAATTAATCAAATTTTCTGCTTCCTTACCAGTCAAATAGGTATTGTTTGTGTGGGTTGTTTTTTTGTTTTGTTAGTATGCCAACTATGGAGACGAAATTTATCACGTGTACTTAAGAGTATAATATTAGATATTAATTAGAAGAAAGTGTCGTTCCAATAATTTTTTGATAAGATGTGACAAGTAATTACTAGCCTGTGTGTTTGCCAATATTAATAACGTTTGAAATGTATTTGTATAAGTAAAGTTTAATAAATGAAGTAACAGTATTTGTTAATTGGTTGCTGATTGTACAAAGCTTTTCACTACAAATTACCAATGGGTAATCCAATTTAATCAATTGAGATATTTATTAAATATATACATGTAGAGAAATCACTGTCAAACCTCGTTCTTTATAATTTTTGTCTGCGCTAAGGAGACTGAGGTCCAGTAGAATATATTCAACCTTATCTTGCTGTTAATAGGGCGGTTCTCTTAACTACACGAAGTATGTGGTCTGGAACACCACCTATTTCATTTATTATCCCAGTGGACTCTTAAAGGATACAGGAAACTCAAATGCCACAAACAAATGGTGAGACTTGGATGGTTAATATGCAGTAGGGGCACAGGAAATTCAAATGTCATAAACAACGAATAGTTACAGAAATTTTATTTTCATGCACTGGAAGAGGTCCTAATCCATAGCTATCATTTTAACATATTTTTTGGGAGTTT